TCTTCTCTCTCTCTCTCTCTCTCTCTCTCTCTCTCTCTCTCTCTCTTGTGCACGCACACTCATTTTCTCAAATTTTGCAAAAGGCATAAAAAATCGTAATTCACGTACAATGAAACGGCGGGGACACTTCGTTGAGGATTAGACAGTGCCCGCGATGATCGATAAAAAAACAACATGTATAATAGTGTATAATATATATACAGAGTACCAGATGTGCCTCTCTCGTCGAAAGAACGATTCTCAATGCGATTTATAAGACGATTAATTTTCTTTTTATTAGGATCACAGAATAGTAGCGCCCGAGCATAGCAATATTTTATTAAGGATATCCGGAAACGAACGGGACGAGCCGCGTTCTCCCCCCTCTCTTCCCCGCGAGTTAATAACGTCATCGTCATCGTCATCGTCGTCGTCGTCGTCGTCGTTGTCGTCATTGTCGTCTAATGTGAGCCGGAATCAGGTGCGAGTCGACTCCATTCGTTCTCGAAGATCTCGCCGACTAAAGCTATGTATGTATATATATATATATATATATATGTATATATATATATATATGTATATATATATATGTATATATATATATATGTATGTATATATGTATGTATATATATATATATACATATATATATATATATATATATATATATAGTATGTGTATGTAAATAAATGCTTAATATATTATAAAAAGGAATATAGCATATTAAAATTATTGACTAGCTTAACAATACTGCGCCAACAGTCATTGGACGAATAGCTGGAATTCTTCCATGGTGTATCATCTGTTTGTGTGCTTGTGTGTATGTGTGTGTGAAATTCGCCATAGATATTTATAATATTTTTCAAAGTTAAAACATTAGAGCGCTAGGAGTATATTGAAATAAGATCTCGGAATGCCATCGTATAATCGAAACATCCACAATTATCTTCCCTCTAAGGATCATCGATTCAGACGCTGATACGTAAGCATTATTAATCCTTTCATTCCCAACGCGCATGGCACGCGCGGGAAAAGGGTCACGGTAACAGATAATAACTTCACTCTTCAATGAAATCAGAACCCAACTTCGAATCCGCAAACATCGCAGCGTCCACGACGGAATCCACGCAACAAATAAGTAGAGAAGGTATCAATTGACCTTACAATTTGAGTTTAACGTGGAATTAATCTCGAATTATCAATTAGCTTCAATTAATAATTATTTTCTTAATTTTCAATTAAGAAAATATGACTAATCACGCCGTCGGAGGACGTTTGTAGAAACAAGTTAAGTATAGAGTATGTAATATATGAAAGGGTTAAACGCGCGCGAGCGCGGGACTATTGTAATTCGCCATTACTCGTAAGCCTATATAATCGATTTTCGGTTATAAATGATTATGCAATGAGTTATTTTTACGAATACTTTCCACTATGGAATGCGTTAACTGTGCTTTGCAGAGTCGTCGTTGTCGTCGTCGTCGTCGTCGTCGTCGTCGTCGTCGTCGTCGTCGTTGTCGTCGTCGTCTTTTGCCACGATATGATCTCCTTGGATAGTGTTCTTGGTCCTTGAATGTGATTATTCTTCGTGCTCCTCTTTACTTGGTTCCCGGCCGTTCCTTCGTTCCACGCGATTTTCCCGAGATTCTCGCTTCCCAAACTTCGTAGCGGATCGAAGTCGGGGGAGAAAGGGTGGCCCTCGACTCCTTCGGAAGGAACGGGCTCGTCGATGATTTATCGATTATTCACGCAACAGTAAATATACGCGAGCGTGGAAGCTGCCGTCGCGCCTTCACCCCGCCGGGAGTTCATTCCCGATGCTAACAGACTATTTCCGCGCGATTTTGCGCGCATCCGTGATCTCTCACACGCGATTTCAACGTTGATTTGCTTCGACTTGCGCTTCGCGATCTCGTCGCAAAGTGACCGTTTCTCCCCGCACGCATCTCGCGAAACGATCGTGATGTTAGCGCGATTGCGACCCGGAATTTGATTCCCAATGTATGTTCACCGAGAGATAATCTCTCACGATATCTCGCCATGACCGCTAACGATAATACCCTAATGATATAATCCCGGATAAAAAGTTCTCCCGACGGTAAGACGTGTGCGCTCTGTGTTTAATCCGTGAAGTGGCGCGTTCACGGGGCGCATCGCATGGATCTGCCGATTAGTCGTGACTAATTCGCCGACCTCCGCTTCCGCGGAATCGTGCGTGACGCGTGGTGCCTTTCGGCCGTCTCGCTCTCGCGCTTCTTAGATCTTCGACACGTAGAGCGAACGGTGCACCTGCTGCGGATTGCCGTTCTGTTTCGAATAGCGCACATTCTGAAGCAGCTCCCTGGTCTCGCTGGGCGACCCCGGGCTGAGGCTGTTGGTGGTCGAGGTCTCGACGCGATCGCTGATGATCTCCTCCTCGGTGATCTGTTCCAGATACAGCGCCGACTGCACCGCCTGATTGTCGCCGTTGACGGCTACCTGCGGCGTGTACGCCGGCGGCGGGCTCCTGGGCGGCGAACCGGCGGCCTTACCGTCCTGGATCTCTAGAGAGACGTCAGATGACACCTGCTTCATCTGCTTCGCCCGTCTGGCGTGCCGGGTGGTGAGGCCGCCGGTCTCCACGTCTCTCTCCAATCTGTGGCCGGACTTGGATCTGGTGAGCTGGCGTTGCACGTACTCCTCGAGATCGTCCTCCTCCTTCTTGGCGATCACGCGATTCAGGATGACGAGGAAGATCCCGATGAAGATGGCGAACAGACCTACCGCCACCAGTTCGTTCCACCAGCCGCCGGTGGCCTTGGTGCCCCAATGCGTCAGGTCGCCCGGCAGGAGGCCGCTCATCAGCAGGAAGGCACCCAACACCAAGAACACCACGCCGATGTGCAGCATTCCAATAGAGGTGACCACCTTCGTGTCGAGCATACCTTGGCCGGCAGCGCGGGCGGCGTGCGGGCCCTTGTGATGCCTGCCATGATGGTCCAGCGATCCGGTCGAGGCCCTAGGCGACGTCAGGCCGCTTTCGCCTGATTGCGCGCTATAACGACGCTCGCGTGCGCGACGCTGCTCATCCCGGCGCTTTCTCTGACGCTTGATGGCCAGCGCCGAGTGCAATCCAACCGCGTGCATCCTGCAACACCGGAAAGACAACCCTTGCTCAGTGTGTCCTCTACAATTCTGTTTCTATGTCGCTCTCTCCCTCTCTCTCTCTCTCTCTCTCTCTCTCTCTCTCTCTTGCTCTCTTTCACCCTCTCTCGCTCGCTCGCTCGCTCGCTCGCTCTTTCTCTCGTGACACTCTACATCGCGGACATTCTTTAGTTTCTTTTCTTTCTCTCCTTCTTTCTTTTTTGTCAGACAACTTTCGCGAGCTATACCGATCGACGAATAACGAGAGATCGATCTCGCGACATTACAAGCCAGACAGGCGTAGCAAAGAAATGCCATTTTGCGTACGATCGTGGATCGATCGCGCTACCGCGTAGGTATGCGGTACGTAGGTAGCGGTGACGAGCGTCAACAAAAGAGCAATTTGCACGCCTGCTCGTGAGCAATGTGGCGAGCAATTGTACGCGTGTACAAATTAATCGATATCACTGCTGCCGCTCCTGCCGGCGGCGAGACGAGCGAAAGAAAGTGGCTACTGGCTGGATTAAGCACCGTAACATCTCATTTCCCGGCCAATATCGTCGATCTGTCCGCTCTGCTCTGACAATTCGCGCGCTTCTATCTGCTCTGTTGACTAATGCTGCGCTACTTCTATTGATCGGTGCGATCATCGGTCTATGAGGCCTACAGGATCTATTTACAGGGTTTACAGGATGCACTGCGATGGAATAGCGCGTATCGAAAAGCTCGACGGCCACGATGACGGCGATGGCGACGACGGCGGCGGCGACGACGACGACGATGACGACATTCTCTCGGTTCTTCGAAGGGAGATCTCCTCCCGCAACGCGCATACGTCGTTTGATCGATGTCCCTTCGCTTTCACATATCGCCTCCGTTTCCTCATTCGGTCAGTAGAAAACGCGTAGTCACTGTATATATACGTGCACGTAATCGCAGAGTCGTCGATATACGTAATGACACAGCGAAGCGAACGCTTTTATATTTGTAACGTCTCTTATATTTGTTTCTTACGACTGCACTCCTCTTTCTCTTTCTCTCTCTCTCTTGTTTTATTTTTCTTTCTCCCTCCCCCTCTCGCCGTTGCTCCATCTTTCATCTTCGCTGTCAGGAAATAGCCTTCCCTCATAGCGGAGCGAAGGTCGTAGCTCGTCCTAGCTATAGATTAATATACATAACTCGTACGATAAAACGAAACAAACCATTCGATGAGTCGATAAAAAAAGCAATTTCGCCAAGTTGCACGTTTCTCGTGTTATAGCTGAAAAGCGTTGCGGTCGAGTCCCAAGTCGTTTTACTTTGCCAAGTTTTGTGATCACGTACACACACATATACACACACACGCACACACACATATCTCGAGAGACACACAAGTGGCCAGAAACTTTTCAGCGAAATTGAGAAGACTGCGAGAAACAAGAAACAAGTTGGCAATGTATACATATATATACACTGAGAGATAAAATATCGAAGAAATAAAATATATTGATTCGGTGGGTATTATTGTAATAACATACACTCACACACACACACACACACACATATATATATATATATATATATATATATATATATATATATATATATATATATAGACGTGATCATTGACTAATCTTCATTAATATCTTCAATTAATATCTCGAAATTTATTATGAATATCGCAAAACGGTATGGAACATTTATGTTCACCCCAATCCGTTCTATGTTCTCACAAACATTGCGAAAATGAATCTGGGACACTCTGTATATATATGTAAATAAAATGGTACTTGCTTCTGCAGTACATATACTTATATAAAATAAAATGTCTGTATTCTTCTGTCTGTTTCCTATACACTTCTAAACCTTTTGACTAACTTGGACCAAATTTTACATATGTACCCTCTAGAACTTTGCGGAAAGTATAAATTACATGAAATCTGGACACTTCGCCTCCTTCCTCTGACTTCACTCCCTTGACACTTTGTCTGATAACGTCGAATAATTCCACAGCTAATAAACAATACTTCTTAAATGAGAAAACACATTTTCCTGAAATCTTATCTTCTTTCATAGAAGCAATTGTTTCTTTCACGGAAAGAAAATTTTAATTTTAAATAGAAATTTTCATTCGTTTATTTAAGTTTCACAAGAGAGAATTTAGGATCAAGTTAATATACCATTATAATACTCACCGAATAAATATTTTCAATTTTTTCTCTCAGTGTATATATACGTAAGATCGAGAGCAGGGTGCGATTGATAACAATACGATATTTCACCGGCTTTGGATATTGCGGGCACGCAATATCCCGCGATTCTGATGTTTATTGACGTCGAATCTCGTCCGTACGTACATGTGCCGCGAAGATTGAACTCTGTCAAACTTGTATCGATCTCGAAGCTGTTCGATCGGCAGCAGGCAGCCGCCCAAGGAGAATCTTTACGTTCACCATCCTGATCCAATCTCGCGTTCTATCGAGGGCACTATTGTAGCGCCCGCGAGTATCGAATCTCAGCATCTCGAATCCTACCGACGAGAGATAATCTTCCCCGCCACGCTCATTTGCGTATGCATAAGCCACTCCCCGGTGGTGAACGCGTAGAAATGCACGCGAGACGAAGTAAATGGCAGCGCATTGCGTAATGTATATGCGTCATTCTTTTTCTTTCTTTTTACTTGTCCCACGTTGCACCCTCGCATGACGCCTCGGCATTGTACGTTCTCTAAAGGGCACGTCGCGAAGTAATTAAATACCGAGCACTTTGTGCGACGCAGGTGGCGATGCAATCGCTCGCCGTGTGCTCGCTCTTTCACTGTATGGCTTGCAAGGCTGTGAAATAAAAAAAGAGGGACCTCCGAAATGCGCAGAAGGGGTGAAAGTTGAAGAGTGTCCTTTATCGAGTGGCCGATATATGTATGCTATATATACTATATACTGTATACTGTATACTATATATATATGTATACATTTTTCTCTCTCCCTTTTCTCTTCCTATCACCCGGTTTCAGGTTTATTTCGCGTCGCTCTGTGAGAAAGTGTGCTATTCGCATCATAAATATTTAGCCTACGCGGAAGATATTTTTGATTCATCTTGTGTGCTCTGTCCACGAAGAGAATATCCGTAATCGCGCTTGTACATCGGCAATTTAGGCGCGCAGCTACTTGCGCGCCCGATCGATGAATCGCGCCATCGATATCTGTTGATTCATCGGAAATCTATGGCGCCCCGCCGGCGCGAGGATGCGAAAAGCAGTGGCGATGGGAAAAATCTCAAAGGTGACTTCGCAGATTTACTCCTTCATTTTACGATCACAATGCGCGGCGCCGCGAAAGCGTTTCCTGCTCGACGATCAATAAAACCATCCCCATCCCCCTTACAGAACGCAAACGCAAAGTACACGGGGACAGATAGTCAGTGCATTACACGTACAGCGACGTGGCGCTACGCATGTGTATGAGGACCCGTGAGAAGGAGAGCCGCGCGCGTCGCGAAAAAAGCGGCGAAAAGCGGACCAATTTTTGCGGATGGTTTTGGACATGCTCGACGAATCGGATTATCGCATCACTCGCAGGAAGAAAAAAAGAGAGAGAGAGAGAGAGAGAGAGAGAGAGAGAGAGAGAGA